TTTAGCCTTTGTAGTTAGTTAAATATTTCAGTTTTTGCATTTTTTAAAAATGCAGTTATATAATAGGGTGGCATGACCGTAATTATAAATTACCAATTTTTTGTAAAAAGCTTCGCCTATCTTATAACGTACCTTGTGCAAAATTTCATTAATCTATCTTCAATAGATTTCGAATTACAGAATTAAAAGCAGCTAGATGGGTCAAATCTTACACTGTGCGCCGTGCCGGAATCGCATTTGCCTTTTCAACAATAATTGCTGCAAAATGGTAAAGGGCAATGCTAAAGGAACACCCAGCGCATAGGCCAGTAATTAACTCAAAGGTCTCCAACGCGGTACGAAACCGGCATATAGTTTACTTATCGGAGACAAGGCTCTCGTACTACATTCTATTCGCAATAATCAAGTGAGAGGCCTCATTACTAGATTGCGGCTTGTCTCTGCTATTCTTTAATATATGTATTTTGATTTGGGGAACTCATACTTTTATAAAGATATTCTACAAGCAAAAGCCGCCAGTCAGTCAGTTTCGCTAATTTTTTTATAAAAATATGGTTAATTATACAAAAAAAACCCCAAAAATCAGATTTCCATTCAAATTATGCTTTGTTTATTTACACTCTTTAGAAGAAACTTGAGTATGCAGTTTGTTTAGCCCATTAAATTTTTAACGGAATATTTTTTTTTTATGTATGTATGTTACAGCATAACTTTGGACCACGTAAACCGATTTCGATAATTTTTTTTTGCATCGGAAAGGTAGTGTCTCAGAGGTGGTCCCATACTAATCTGGTTAAGATTCGATCATTGGATCATGAAATCATGAAGTATATATACATATATATATTTTATATGAGAATTGAAGTCGGGTTTGTTTTTTGCTTAAAAACTACTTATACAAACACAAAAAAAAAATAATAATAAATAATCTTCAAATCGAATTCAATGTAATCTTCCTTCTTCTTTTGACTCTTCCCTTTATCAAATGTGACTAAAGGGATCGAAAAAAATTGTTTGTTCTCAACTTTTGATTGCACTTCAAAAATTGCACAATTTATGGTTCAATTAACCGGGGAATCAATTAACCGATACTCGCTTAATTGAACAGTTTGTTCAATTACAGAAACTGCGCTAAATTGGACAACCTAATCAATAAAAAGAAAATGCATGTGTGCATTTTAAATTTAATGATATTTACATATATAGTTTAAATTTTAAACGAAAAAATATAAGGAAAAAAACAATTTTTATTTATTATTGTTCATACGTAAGTAATTATACTTGGCACACATTTTGAGAGATAATTATTATTAAAAAATAAAATATTTTTAACCAATTACACGGGGAAACCAATTAACCGGGTTCAATTTTGCGGGAAAATTTACGTAGAATTTTTATGCAATATTTTTTTACCGATAAGGTAATTCAAATCAGTTAACCGGGGAATACTGTATTGTTTTTTCTTTTCTTTGTTTTTTTTTTTATTGGGCCTCATGCATAATTTTTGCACTGATGAAGTGAGCTCAAGCTCAAGAAATTGTACAGAAACTCGAGTCGGAGCTTAAGCTCACTTTTTATGCATGAGGCCCAATATGTTGACCTTTCTGCAGTGGAATATGAATGGCTGCTTGTATAATTATGTCGATTTAGAATTGCTTATTAAAAGTCATAATCCTTCAGTTATTTTACTAAATGAAAGTCACCTTGCTTATAATGCGACAGCCTTTGCTCCCTTAGCATATATTGCTCATTTCTTCAATCTTCCTCAGAATATTACAAGCATACAGGGTATTGCTATCCTTGGCAAGAAAAACCTTCCTCACATTATCCTTCCTCAACCTCAAACGAATATATCTTCCCTAGCTATTGAAATTCAAACTTCTAACAAAATTCATTTTTAGTGCAATTGATTTTGGAAATATTCTTCCCTCTAGTTCTTATCCCTTCTTTCTGGCAGGTGACTTGAATGCTTGGAGCCCCCTTTGGGGATCGGCATCAATTAATCATAGAGGTCGCGTGATTGAGGACGTTATTCTTGCTTCAAATTTGTTTATTCCTATTGATGGGTCGCTATTCAGATATTTCCCTCTGTTCTCCTTCTCTTTCTGCTAGAGCTTCTTGGTGTTATATAGACGATCTTCATGGCAGCGTTCATTTCCCGATTTTTACTAAATTGCTTTTCTTCCGTTCTTCTTCCCTACATAGACCAAGATTGTACTTCAAAACTGACATGGCTGATTGGGTTAAGTTGGAAAATTCTTGAATTCTAGAAAAGTTTGGGCTGGTACTAAGAGGTTGTCTGGTTTTTCATCTTCTTCCCCTATTTCTTCTCGTGGTATTCTATTTCTTCCTCAGGAAATAGTCTTAGCATTTGCAATTAATTTCGCTAATTCCTCCTCCGATTCTAGCTTTCCTGCTGCTTTTTCTTCCTGTAAACATGCTTTTCTTTCTACTTCATGGCTAGCTCCGCCATTCCTTTCTCCATCAGCTAAGTTACATATTGGACTCTGATTTATCACTACTTGAATTTCATTCTGCTCTATCGGCAGTTAGGGGGTATTGATAAAATAAATATCATACCCTATTATTAAACACCTACCTCCGTTTCTTTTTCCCGCCTCATCAGTCTTTATAACAATATTTTCAATTCTGGTTACTACCCCCTGCAAATGCTATTATTCCAATTTAGAAGCCTGGCAAATATCCTTATGAACTACTACTGCTTCCATGTCTTGGTAAATTGTTGGAAAAAATTATTGCTAGCAGGCTTACTACTTGGTCATTCGAATAAACTAATTCATCATATTCATGTTGCCTTCAAGATGGCGCAGAGTACTCTTGAATCTTCAAGCTCTTTTACATATTGACCGATTCGTTTCTGAGGATTCATTTATTAATGACTTATAGTACACCTTGCTCAGTGTTGTGAAATTTTTAAACTGTCTGGCTGCCAGTTTCGATATACAGATGGTCCAAAAAATACAAGCTATGTTGCAGTTAAAGAAAATGGCGTTCCCGTATCTTCCTTTTCCTTCCGCTACTCTAATATTTAATGTTATTTGTGGTACAAGGAACTTTCTCATACCTTCTCCGAATAAACTTAAGATGATGGGGGTGCCTAGCCAACCAGGCAGTAGTGGAAATTGGTACATTCGTCTACGCATTGGTCATACTATCATAACTATTAAATGGTGGTCGCCAAAGCCGGCGCCCTTTCTGTGAATCTGAAATCAGCGTATTGCATTTATTAGTTTTTTGCACTGCGCTTAAAAATCATAGACGCATGAATTTTGATAACTTGGATCCAATTCAACCACTAATGAATTCTACATATGATAACATCTCTATAATTTACATCGTCGTATCTAATTTGCCCTCATTCATCAGTTAGCTGAAAGTCTCTGCTGCTAGCACTGTGTTTTATGGTTTATATAATAATTGTTCTTGTATTGCAAAAAACTCTCTGTACCTAAACTCTATTGATTGACTGTATGACGGAAAACAAATTTTTCTTTTAGCTTCTTTTCATATATTCAGAGTACGAATTTATTCTTTTCCAATTTCCAGCGCACTGTGCAAGTGGTATATGTACTTATTTTAATTCCCTTATTCTCGATCATTTTGGTACAATGGGAGTAGGGGTTTCGCATTGCCCGCATACCAGATATTGGGATTTTGATTGAGACCGTGGTTTATCTGCTGTCCCGGGGGGCCTGGTGGGCCCGGCGGACCTGTGCGCCCCGTTAGTCCTGGCCTTCCGATAGGTCCGGTTGCGCCGGTAAGTCCACGCGGTCCTGGCGGCCCAGGTGGACCCGGTGGGCCAGGTGGTCCCACAACCGCAACGGGCAGAATAGCGGCAGGCGGCTGCAGTCCATTATTTTCCGAATTCATACCACCATTCGGTACTTTCCCAGAGGAAGTTAGTAAATTTAGGCCAGTGTTGCCGTTCAAATTGAAACCGAGTTGCAGGCGATCGGCCAGCGACCAACGCTGGTAAGCATTCTCATAATAGGGATAATTGCGACGCATATCGTTCGTAAGACGATTATCCAGTATGGATGCGGTGTTGGGTGTTGGTCCGCCGTAAATGGGGTAGCCAATGCTGGGCAACATGTACTTAATGTGGTCATCATCCATGACGGGCATGGCATTCGAGTAGAGGTAGTCGGGCAATTTGCGGCTGTCCTTTTCCAAGTCGCCTTCTTGTGCAGTGTTTTTGTCAGAGGCGCTATTGGTCGACTGCATGCCGTTGTCCTGGTGTTGTTGAGTTTGCATTGGCGTCTGCTCATCCTGTGCGTAAATGACTATTTTGGCGTTGCCATCGCCATCGGCGTTGCGGGCAACACCAAAGTGAAGAGGTGTGGCGCGTAGAGAATGCACTAACGGGCTGGAGCTGGTGGTGAGCAGCAGCAGGATAACTGTAAATGGAGAGAAGTGGAAGTGAGTTGTTGTCTACTTAACTACTAGAAGAAAGTGGCTTACCAATTTCTCGTGCTACTTTTTTGCTATTCATTTTGGTTCTGTTGTTGCCTAAGTTCAAGAACTTGCTTTTATATCAAAGCTCTTGGGTACNTGATGAATATTCGTAAATTGGTGACTTAACACAAACACACTTATACACATACATACATGCATATATGTATACGTATGTGCATAGGTGATTGCGATAACAGCATTCACTCACTTGGCTTTCCCTTTGCCATACTATCTTTGAGATCTAACGACCTAGTTAACCTAATACTCGTAGAAAATAGTTAATTATTCAATAACCATTAAATTATTTATTCTTTTAATACATATTCTAATACAAACATGTGATGCCTTTTGTAGAGCTTTTTTCATATTTTCTGCAGACGTTTCACTCATAATCATAGTTATCGAATTCCTCCTCCGCCTGAATGTTATATGGCATTTGTCGTACGGAAGCTTCAGGAGTTTCTTTTGGTCCAGGCCTATCCATAAATTCTTTCTGCCGAGGAGGGCCAGGTAGTCTATTAGGGACCGGTAAGCCACGTCCTCCACGTAAACCAAGCGTACTCTGTTGACCAGCTGCATCGTCACGGCCATCACGGCCTGTGGAACCTTGTGGCCCGCTGATTCCTACCGCCCCAATGTCTTCAGTGGGGTCACGTGGTATCTTATTGTCTACCTCATCTAGCAGAACAGGTAGTCCTGGTGGCTCTGGCTGGGTATACATCGACGCTTGTTGGACGAAGTGTGCTTCTAGTAGCCGAGGGGTATGACACAGCGCAAGGGTAACTGTAAATAAAACTGTTTTTGAAAATTTCCATTCAAGTTCAGTTCGAATTAATGCCTACTCAGTAGAATGTATGCTGCGTAATCCATTTTACGCGTTCAACTGTGCGGAGGACAAACGCCGAGCTCCTTTTATATGCGTACGCAGGCAGTGCATTATTGGCCTAGGAAAGAGTAACAGATTGCATGACAGCGTTGATTTGAGTATCGATACGAGATAAATTGATTAGTTTGAGAGCGTGGTTCTTTGGATGCACTAAAAAACGATCTACATACTCATGTACTTACATACTTAATTCGTTTTTTACTACTAATTTCGATTATTTTTCTAATGAATAAACCTATAAAAAGTCTTTGCTGTGAAACAAGTTTATTTCCCATTTTTCGACAGAAATAAATTAAATGCACTTTTTTACTTTATGATTTGTCGAAGCATTTCCTATAGCAAAGCTGGTTGAAAGCACTTCACAAAAGAGATTTACGTAAGTGGTCGTAGGCAGTAAATGAAGATAACATCATCGAGTCGCATTTACACACCTAGCTAATGAAGCAGTTAAATTTATTGGAAGTAGAGTAGGTATGCGCATACATACATATGTAAAAATAAAATTAGAATATAAAATTAATTTTAACTATCAAAATTTCTAATCACTTTATATCTGAGAATATACCATGCGTACACGGAAAGCACATATTTTATAATTTAAATTGCAAAAATTTAGAGTTGAGTCTCGGTAAAAAAAAAACTTTAAAACTTGATTTCCCAAAACTTTAATTTTTACACATTCATGTTTCTGGCATACGGGCTGCGATATATACACCACCTGATGAAATTTCCCAGTGATTGCAACATGTTTTTGTTGATAGCTGCATACCAAAGTAGCTTTTCAAGAATCTTTAATTAAAAAAAAAATCCCGTTTGGACATGGTTTGGTTATATCCCTACAAGGCAACGTGTTGATCACGTGGAGTTTTACCAGTAATGATTAAAAATAATAATTAATATTTGAGTTTTAATTTTTCGCTCAAAGGTAATTATAATTACTTGATTTTTATTTTTTCGATAAAATTGTGATTTTTTTATGATTATTATTTTTTCGCTCAAAGATAATAATTATTAATTCAGAGGTAGCGACATCCTAATCAAAGGAATAAGTCTCAAAATTTTCAGGTGAAAATTTCAATAAGTTGCGTCTGTATAGCCTTTTCAATTTTATAAATAATAATCATCAATTAAGTGTAAAAATAAAACTCAATAAAAATTATTATATCTAAACGAAAACATAAATATCATAAAATAATCATTATTTGCGATCGGAAAAATAAAAATCGAATAGTAATTATTTCCGTTGAGCAAAATAATTAAAATCAAAAATAATTATTTTTTTAGAGCGAAAACCATAAAACTCATAAAATAATGGTAAAATGCTGATTTAAATTATTTTACTCATAATAATTACCGTCCCTGATTGTTTTTTTGAATTTTGGTGAACATTTTTTTTTTAACATTTAAACTTTTTTTTGTTTTTGTTTCGGGGGAACCCTAAAATTGTTTTCAGCTTGTTTTTATTATGTAACATTCATTTAATGGGGCAGGAGAATCAATTCTCTTCAAAATTGCTACTTTTTCTGCACTTTGCACTAAAAAATTTAATACAAACAAACAGAAATTCAAAAATCGGGCTCAACTGGTATCTTGCAAATTTTATTATTTAGCTTTTATTTAAAAAAAAATTATCAAATTGAGTGAAAAATGAAGGCTCCAGTGAATTGTGAACACTAAATTCCAGTTTTGAACCACTGTGCGTCGGCTACAAGAAAGGTCAATTGGTCGGTGCTCGTACAAGATATTATGCCTGGGCTTACCGAGCATAGCACCAATATGAACCCACTCGTCAACGATGGCCGATGTGTTAACCACCATCAATCCCAAGCCAGCGGACGATTTCTTCATTTGGCGTCTGTTTTGTAACATGAAAGGGGGATCCATGGTATCCAAAATTTTTTTAGTATCACAGACAAGACAATTAGTGTTTTCCAGCGGCCCCTATTGGCAGCAACTCGATTCTTTTTGCTTTTAAAATGAAACAATTGTGGATCATAGAAAATTCACGGGCGTTAGTTCATTTCAGAGAGCCTCGTGAAAATAGTTGCGCCGAAATTATGGATCCACTCCCAATCGAGCAGAGATTGGAAGCGAAATTTAATTGGCTTAAATTCTCCAATTTCTTCATGCATACAATATGCTCACTGAAAAATGAGGGCTTAATGAACATTTGCAAAGTAGATTTTTATTTTATTTTTTTTTAAGTGCAAAAACGCACTCTAAAATGCATATTTTTTAAATTAAGCTCATTTGTTTCTATATAGTACTACAATCATGTCATATCTTATCTTTTACTCTATCCGATATATGTAATTATTTTCCGCAACCGCAATCGCCATCACTCAATGCCTCTTGGCCAAGCGACCTTTTGAATATTGAAACGATATCCGTGTCGGCCGTCAAATGTAAAGCCGCCATTATAACGAAAACGGTTTTAATGATCTATGTACAAAAGTATATGTAAAAATCATAAATGAAATAAATTTGTTTTGCAAAATTTTTAAATTCATTAACTTACAAAAACACGTAAAGTTAGCATGGCTATTAAGAATCTATTCGGTCAGCTATGGAGCTAAATTTGCACCAAGCTATACATTTTTCAGTTTGTTTTCTACCACTTAAAATTTACTTGGCTTTAGGGCAATTACACAGTAGCTTTGTACGACGATGTGAACGTGCCACAAATCTTGATATCTCGAATGCATTTTACGCTGCGCCCGCATTTTGGCTCAGGGGGCGCCAATTTTTCCTCGATTCTTAAAAAAACTTGTGTTAAATGCCTAAAAGTAGGCTAAATGTTAGCGTGCGAGAAGGCGTTTAATTCATTCACTTTGTTCGATTAGTAATTCTTTCATTTTGAAGGGCCAACTAAGTAGGTCGCGTACTTGAATACTCCATTAACATTGACCGAATTTCTTGCATTATTTGCAACTTTTACTGTCTGCGCACCGCACTTCCGTAAATACATATGTATGTTTGCATGTATGTATGTATGGCTGCACACCGCTGCGCTAATTTGTCATCCAACTTTGGCACAATTTTGCTTTAAGTTGTTATTTTTATTTGAAAATTATTTATTTATTTATTTGAAGAAAATTTTTTGCTTTGCAATATAATTTTTATCATACCTTTTTGTTTTTTGTATATAAAATATACCAGCGCAGCAGAATTGTGAAGTAGACGATGCAAAAAATGCAAAAACCACCGGCAAAATTTCGCTTGCATACGCTTACATACATACATACCTACATAAATGCATAGCTATGTACTTATACTAAGTAAAGTTTTCTTACAGATACGAGTCGAATATTTTACTACTGCTAAAGCTTTTGAAACGCTTTGCGTTTAGAGGTAGAATGTACAGTGGGCTAATGTAGCAGTCAATTGGTCAAAATCATCAACAATAGGACTCCTCTATAACTACGGTGACCATTCGTACCGATTTTGCGGGACAGTACCGATTTTGTGAAAATTGTCCCGCTGAATATTTTTTAAAAATTGGGACGCATAAGTGTCCAGATTTTTAATATTTGTACCGATTAAATCCCGATTTTTAGTGTTTTCTTTATTAATTTAACAACAGTCTTCCTGTACTTTGACCCAAAAACAATTTTTCGTACAAACGTGGCAACACTTTCGCTATCACAAAAAAACATAGAATATAGGGGAGACACAAATAGCCAGCATCCATATCTGCTATGATCTTTTGTTATGTTTTGTTCTGTCAAACTGGTACTCTCGTTATATTGTAGTCATCATTATTGTAAAAAAAATTGTAAGGGTTTTATAAATATATGCTAAGTGCTTTTTTTAATGAAACGATTCTAACTTGAATTTAGTGAAATTGTAAAAAATAATACTAATTCCCTCCAAAAAAGCATGGATATGAAAAATATAAGCTCTCGACACAGTGGAGAAAACATTACTAGGGAAGCGACATTTTAGCATTTTCCGAAAATTAGAAAAATCAGACCAAGTTTCATAAAAATTTTGAGTCTTTTCATTATATTTTTAGAAATATTCTGAGCCCATTAAATTTTATTAAAACGAACTGCAAATTTTAAGTAGCTACTTCCCGTGGATTTTTGGTGAATTTTTTTTGTGGAAGACATTGTTAATTTTCTCTGTACAAAAAAATTGTCGAACGTACTTTGTATGTAAGAAAATGCGCGAACAAAAAATTACCCATAAAAAAACGGTAAGTCCAAGCAACTTCGAACTTGCGCTTTCAAAAAAAAAAAAACTCTGATTAAAAAGTTTAAAATTTTTATCATCATTTGTTTAAATTTCACGAATATTTGCAAATGTTCTACAAAGTGTTGATTACATGTTTAGTAATATATATTTTTATAAAAAAATAACAATTTTTTAAACAAAGAAAAGTTGCCAAAACTTGCCAAAATGTCTTTACACTATTTACATTCTCGCCATCATGTATTTTGTTTGTATACATTTTAGCGATAATTTTTGAAGTTTCTTTTTCTTTGTTTTGTTTTAAATAAAATTGTATTAAAAGATGTTATATTTTTTTTATTCTAAAAACAAAATCGTATGTTCGGATTCGATGCTTTTGGAATGTCCTGATTTTTGTCCACAGAAATCTGGTCACCGTATTTATAACGAAAACTCCTCTTTAACGAAGTTTTATTTTAAGATATTGCAATTTTTTCTTAAACGTTAGAGTTGCGGGATTTTTATTTGATCTGAATTGAAAGTTGTGTAAATTACTAAATACTATACACTTTTATTTTTTGGTCTAATCAAATCATGATTAAAATTTATTTGTAAACCAAATAAAAATTAATGAATTGCAAATCTATTTGATTCATGATTTTCCAAATAAAAGACTTACGAAAAACTCTTTACTTTATGTAATACAAGCACGATTTTCGAGAAAATAAAATTTATTTTTTATTTGGTTTTTGAATCTAATCACAAATAAATTATATTTTTTATTTCTTCATCGAATCAAATCACTTAAC